GATGGATGGATGGATGATGGATGGATGGATGGACAGACAGGTGGTGCAATGGCTATGGCTGTGCAGACAAGGATAGATGATTAGGTGCACTAAGCAGGGTAGGTAGGTAGAAATATCTCTGGCATTTTTTCCTGCTCCAGAAGAGCCACCAATGTGTACAGATCTTGCCTAGAGGCAGCTGTCACCCTCTGTTCTTCATAGGACACGGGTAAAAGGAGCTGACAACACAGGCAACTCTGCATGAAACACAGGCTGCTCCAGCTGCCTGCAGGTGGGAGGCTGTGTCTGCAATGTGTGTTTCATGGCATCTCTAAAGAGACATTTCAAGCCCAGGGGCAGAATTACATCCTTGAAAGAATTTTTTTTTTCCCATGACCCCAAGGACACATGCAAGCAGGTGTCAGAAAGAAGGGAGGCTCAGGGTTAATGAAAACAGCCTCTGCCTAATTCCCAACTGCACCATTCTTCGTTTTCTACTAGCAATATTAAAAACACTTCACGCAATAACAGAGTCATAGAATCTTGGAACATTTTGGGTTGAAAGGAGCCCTAAAACCCACCTCGTTCCACCCTCTGCCATGGCAGGGACACCTTGCAGTGTCCCAGGCTGCTCAAGCCCTGTTTGGTCAGGGGAACCTGGCCTTGGACACTGCCAGGGATCCAGGGACAGCCACAGCTTCTCTGGGCATTCACTCCTGCACTATTAACAAACTGATAAATTGCCCTGACAAACTCCTTGGGTTGCGGTGTCCCTCTGAAACAGAGATTTTTGGAGTTCATTTAAGTTAACAAAATTAATTAAGCATTTATATTCTAGCTTGTAGAGTTATGTGTTGAATTTTAACCTTTTACTTAAGAAACCTGTGCTGTAGTACAAAGGGCATAAGGAAATGCAAATTTCTGAAGCTTATTGCACAAAGAACAATACTTAGGGATGCAAAGAACCCAGGTAAAGAAGCTTCCCTGTCTCTGAGCCTATCAAGACTGACAGACACACACAGATAAACACCAAAGGACCGAAAGCACACACAGAGAGAAAGGGTTCAAAAGTTCAGTCATGAGGAAGACCATGATCTTCAGCCTCAGAGACCACCAGAAACCCCTGCAGGGCGACCACAGCAAACCACGCGTGCCCAGAAGCGCGTGGAACTATTTAAGAAATATCTAATTTATTAAATAGTTTATTATTTAAGAAATAGCTAAATTTAAATTTAGCATGAGAGGAGAGGACAGGCAGGGCCAGGGGTTGAATATGCATGAAAAAGTAGTGCAATGTATTGAATATGGAACAGCTTTGGGAATAAAGTGCGAGTCAGACTGAGGCTCGGGGCACAGGATTTTGGAGAGGTGTCACACTTGTGGCAAGTGCTGACAATACAGAACTACCCCAGGCTGCGGAGTCTATTTATTTATTCCGCGTATCGCTTCACCGCTGCTCAGCCCGGAATCAGGCGCAGCCCCTGGGCCCAGGCGGTCCCCGAGTGTCCCGGGCCGCTCCCCGAGTGTCCCGGGCCGCTCCCCGAGTGTCCCCGGTCCCGGTCCCGGTCCCGGGCCCGGTTCGCCGCCATTCCGGGCGCGGCGCCGCCGCTGGGGCGCGCTGGCCCTTTAAGGGTCCTCCCCGCCGCTGGGGGGCGCTGTGCGCGGCGGGGGCGCACGCGCGGCGGGCGCTGCTCGGCGCATGCGCAGCGCGGCAATGCGGGTGGTGGTGGGTGAGTGCGGCCTGAGGGAGCGGGACTGTGAGGGAGCGGGATCGTGAGGGAGCGGGATCGTGAGGGTGGGGGTCTGAGGATGGTGTTGGGGGGGGCATAAGAGAGCGGCGGTCTGAGGTGGGGGGCCTGAGGGAGCGGCGGTGTGAAGGTGCGGGGCTCCTGAGGGAACGGGGGCCATGAGTGCAGGAGTGGCGGGCGGAACGGAGTTTTGGGAAGGGGCAGGCGGGCCTGGATTGCGGGTGCTGCCCGCCGCCTCTCCGCCCGAGTGTGGCGCTGGCCAAGTGCGCGGGCGGTGCTGCTGCAGCCCCAGGCAGGGCCGCCCCTGCTGCGGGCGGTGATGGCCCAGGGCTGCAGCCGTGACGGCTTCTCTGTCTCCCTCACCAGGTGGCGGGACAGGCTTCGTGGGCAGAGCCCTGACCCAGCTGCTGCGGAGCCGAGGGCACCAAGTGACCCATGTGTCGCGACAGGGGGGCGAGGATCGGATCACCTGGGTATGAGATGATAGTGGTCGCAGCAGGGGGAATGTGACAGGGCTCTGGCTTTCCATGGCATAGAGGGACCCTGCCATGGGAGGCCTAACTCCTCTGGATGTTCTTTTGCTGGGTGCTCCGTGGGTCACAATCATTGGAATGGGTCCTGCTGTAGCTCCGAGAAGGAAAACCATATCCATTTGTGCTTGTCTCTGCAAATGTCAGGAAGAAACTGGCTGAAGTTCTTGGGAGCCTGCTGTGCTTATTTGCAGGCAAGGCTTGAGCAGAGGGGAGGCCTGATGTGTGATGTCTCTGTCACCCCTGCCTAGGAGGAGCTGTCCCACTCTGGGCTGCCCCCGTGCGATGCTGTGGTCAACTTGGCTGGTGAAAATGTCCTCAACCCTTTCCGCAGGTAACTTGATGTTCCACATTGCTGTTGGGACAAGGTGGAGGTAAGAAAGGCCACTGTTGTCAGAGAATGTGGAAAGGGAGGAAATAACATGATCAGGAAGCTCTTGAGTTAACCAGCTGCTGACATTTGCATCCTCAAGTACCCAGAACATTTCTGTGGGCCTGTTAGGTTCTGAGAGACCTTTGGAAGAAAGGTTCCCTCCTGGATCTACAGCTGGAGGTCAGAAATGAGAAAATGAGTTCCACATTTCCAAAAGGACATTGGGTGCTGTGCCTACATTTGTTAATGCAAAATTAGAACCAAAGTTTGACTTCTAGGAGGATCACCAGCTTTGGTGTCTAGCTCATTTGCTGACTTTGTCTGAAGGCAGTCCAAACCCTACAATCTTGTAAGGGAATTGAAGAGCCACCATCTTCCAAAGTTCCCCTGCCTTTGTGCTGAAAGATGTCATGTCCTTCCTTTGCTCTGGGGTGAGGGGAGTTCCTGTGCCCTCTCCTGTGCCTGTGAGCTGGTGCTGGCTGGGTTCCCCCTTGGTGGTAGTGTTCCCTGGGGTGTCCTTGTGAGGTGTTTAATCCCTGGCTCCCTTTCCCAGGTGGGGTGATGCCTTCTGCAGGGAGGTCATCAGCAGCCGGGTGGAGACCACGAAGGCCTTGGCCGAAGCCATCGCTGCTGCTGAGCAGCCCCCCCGTGCCTGGGTCCTCGTCACTGGCGTAGGTATTGGTTGGGCCTGGCCAAGACAGCACTCCTGCTGACCTGGAGAGGCTTTACCTGCAGAAAACACAGTTCCTCAGGAGCACCTGCCTTGCCTTGAAATGTCAGCTTTACTGCCATCAGTGCCACTGCACTTAGGCAAGCCTTGCTAAGCTTTTAGTGCTGCTGGAGAGGAATTTGGGTCCCTGTGCTTTGTCTTGGTGTCATTAGGGCAGAAGCTTTTCTGTGTTTTCCTGTGAAAGCCTTTAGGAATCCCATAGAATCAGTTTGTGTCAGTAAGGCCTCAGCTGAAGCCCTGTGCATTATCTCCTACTTCCTGCTGGCTGCAGTCTTTAAAGCTGAGGTTTATCTTTAGAGTTGCCATGGTTTATCCTCTGTGAAGCCCAATATTAAAGCAGAAACCTTCCAGTCAGCTCAGTGTGTTCCTTGCAGGCCTGTTTGGGTTTTGGGGCTGTCTGAGTGTTAGTGCATCCTGCTAAACCTGTAGTTTTTGGTAGTTCAAAAACTTGTCAGCATTGCCATCAGAGACCCTGTGCTGTTCATGTGAGGATGTCCCAGTTCTCACAGAATCCCAGAATGGTCTGGGTTGGAAGGGGCTTTAAAGCCCATCCAGTGCCACCCCTGCCATGACAGGGACACCTTCCGCTATCCCAGGTTGCTCCAAGCCCTGTCCAGCCTGGCCTTGGACACTTCCAGGGGTGGGCATCCACAGCTTCTCTAAGCAGCCTCTAAGCCTCCCCACTCTCACAGGGGAGAATTTCTTCCTTAACTGACTTTCAATTTGAAGCAATTTCCCCTTGTCCTGGCACTCCAGGCCCCTGTAGACTCTCTCTAGCTTTCTTGTAGGCTCCCTTCAGGTACTGGAAGGTTGCAATTAGGTCTCTTTTCCAGGCTGAACAATCCCAGTTCTCTCAGCCTTTTCTCACAGGGGTTCTGGGCTCCTGGAGGCAGAGAAGGTGGTCTAATGGGGAAGGAGGGGGCTTGGTGTCATCATTCAGCCCTGAACCCCTTTCTGCTGTCAACCTGCAGGTTTTTACCGGCCCAGCCCCACAGCTGAGTACACTGAAGACAGTCCAGGAGGGGATTTTGACTTCTTCTCACGCCTGGTGAGCTCGTGGGAGGCTGCAGCTCTCATCCCTGGGAGCCCAACTCGTGGTGTTGTGGTGAGACCAGGTGCGATGTGGCATCTTGCTTAGTAATGGTGACTGCTTTACTGCTGGGGCAAGAGTGGGAAGAGGTGGGTAAAGGCCATCAGTTCTTCTGTCTCTCCTTGCTGGGGTCCTGTTCCAGCCCTCTAAGGATTCTCGTGCTTGTAGGTCTGTGTGTGAAGGGGCTTTTGCCCTTTGGGCAGGGGCACCTGGTCTCACTGTGTTCTCCCCACAGGTGTAGTGCTGGGTCGAGATGGCGGTGCCATCGCTCAGATGCTCCTACCTTTCCGTCTGGGACTTGGAGGCCCCATGGGCTCTGGACTCCAGCCCTTCCCGTGGATCCACATTCAGGACCTGTCTGGGATTGTGTGTCATGCCCTGGAGAAGGAGTCTGTGCAAGGCATCCTCAACGGCGTTGCCCCATCCTCCCCTGGCACCTCCAATGGCACCTTTGCCCGGGAGCTGGCGGCAGCCCTGGGGCGCCCGGCGCTGCTGCCGGTGCCCGCCTGGGCCGTGCGGGCTGTCTTTGGGGCAGAGCGGGCGGTCATGCTGCTGGAGGGACAGAGGGTGCTGCCCAAACGCACCCTGGAGAGCGGCTACTCATTCATCTTCCCTGAGCTGCCTGCAGCCCTGAGGGACATCGTGGCTTAAGGCCTGCCCAACTGGGCTGGGCCCTCTTTGTGTGAGCTCACATGCCTTCCCATCAAAGAGGGGAGTCCTGCCCCTTGGCACTTCCCCATCCACATACAGAAGGGGTGAGCAATCCTTTCCCCCTGTATCTCCCTGTGTGCATCCCCAGTTAGGAATCATCCCTCTTACTGTCACATGAATTTTAACATTACCTGCATATGGGGAAGGGCATGAGCACCTCAAAGGACTGTCACTGTGGAATTGCCCATCTTCCCTTTTGCATGGTGTGTGAACAGCTGGCAAAGCAGCTGGGGGTGTAATGTCTTCTCCCCTGAGAGATGTGCAGCAGAAAACTCATCCTAATGCTGTTGTAATTCCTCCATGGTAGTGGAAATCGCCCTTTCTGTTTTTCCCCATGATGACAGGCAAAGAAGAGCATAAGTCTCTTTCTTGGTCTTGGTGGTTGTGGGAGAAGATCCATCTTAGGGTGCTGAATAGAGATTGCATGGAGACTGCCCTCTCTTTTCTTGTGGCTGGTACCAAGTTGATGTGTCAGTACCTTCAGCTGAGTCTAGCCTGAAGAGTTACACCCTTCCAGGGTTCCACACCCTATGCTATGGCAGGGATGAGGGAGAACCCTGTTTTGCCAGCCTGCAGGGGAAAGGGTGACAAACTGCCCCTGGACTGCTTTGCCTTGGCTGAGTGCCCATGAGATCTGTTTGAGCTCAGGAGAGCTGGGTGGTACATCACTGTGTGAGGCAGTGCAAGTCACAGTTTTATTCGAAAGGAACATTTCAGCTATTGCCTTCATTGTGCTTAACTGAGACCAGGTGGTTTTCTTTTATTGATCCCGTGAGGTGTTGCTTGTGTTCAGGGTGTTCCCCTGACTGGGCACTGGGGATATCCAAGCTGCCTGGTCTGCCTTGGGAAGCAGTACCTCTTCCCTAGTAAAGCAGATTGTAATTTCATCATCTCGTAGTGACAGAAAATATATCCATGTGCTTCCCTTGACCCACTTCCATGTCCTGAAGTGGGTTGCAGTGTGTGAAGTCCACAAAGCAGTGAAGTTTATTATAGCAGTACTTCTGGAGAAATACTCCTAGTGTGATGTAAAGTAGGGCTAGAAAATGCAATTCAAAGGCACTTCAGGCAGATAAAGACCATCCAGAAGAACAGCAGTCTACATATTGCTGGTTTATGCCATGCTGTAGTCAGAGTAGCTGAAGGATCAGTTTTGGTGAAGTCTAGATGCCCCACTCTCCTGACTCTGCTCAGTACATACTGGAGACAGAATGGCAATCTGCTGGCTTTCCAGGCAGGAAAATTGGAGTGGGACTGCAGATGGAACTGGAGATAGTCCCCGCAGTTAGTGTCAGCAGCCAGGTGAAATGGGACTTTGGGAATAGTCATGAAAGCAACATGGTTTGAGATAGATGTGGGTTGCTTGGACTTTGTCTTTGCTGCCTGTAAGTTAGGTGCAGCTTCCTTCCTTTTCCCAAGAGCTTCAGTTTCCTGCCCATGAGAGTAGGCTGACATACTCTGAGATACAGACCCAGTTCCTTGTGGGCCAGTGCAATGGGGACAGTCAGCAGTGCTGCTTTAGTTATTTCAGCTGAGCTTTTAGAGCCTCAGGCTTCAGAGCTTCCTCAGATGATGTGGTCTGCAGCATCCTTTTGTTAGCCAGCCCAGTTAATTGCTGTACCTCTATAAACCTTGATGATTGCAATGGCTTTGGGTTGTGATTAGAAATGAGAACAGCTGTGGCTGGAGAAGAACTGCCACCTTCAGCTCTTCCGAAAGAGGTTTTTTGTATCCCACAGAAGACTGCCACTAAGCAGAGCTCCCAGGCCTTGGACTCTGTGCCTGGATGTGGGACTCAGGATCTTTGAAAAGTTGCCTCTGCATGGTGTTTGTGTCTTAAATACATCACAGGTTTAAATGAGCTCCTGTCATGTGAATCTGTACATGGGATGTGGAAGCACTGTCTTCTGAGTGCAGTTAAGACTCATCATGATAAATCTGTGCATGCCCCGTGCCCCTTTCTCTGCAGTAGAGACAGAAAAGGTGCATGTTTGGGTGACAGCAGGCTGAAATCTCGATTGGATGTGTCTAGTTTTGGTGACCTTTGGTCCCCAGGCTGCAAGGCCATGTGATCCTGAGTACAGGCACTGTGTTACCTCAGTGCTGCCATTGCAGTGCTCAGGGCTAGCAGAGTGTTTCTGCAGGCATGTCTGAGCCAATGCTGTGCCCCTCTGCCTTGGGCTAGGTGTCTCTGTTCCTTTAGAGGTGAATGCTTTTGTTAAGCCATGTGAGAAGCAGCTGCTGCCTTCAGCAGCTGTGACTTGGGACCCTCCTGTGTGGCCATTGACATCCCAGCCTGGGGACCCAGGGCCCTCCTGTGTGGCCATGGACATCCCAGCCTGGGGGCCAGTACCTAGGATCAGCCAGCTCTGATGCTGAGCTGCTGTCACTCACAGACATGTGGACAATGACACACAGATGACACTGACATGGCTGTTAGACAGCCCCTGCCGATGTGCTGCTGTTAGCAGCACCCCCACACAGGATGCAGGTGACACATTGGCATCATGCATGGTGGGGCTGGCAGACTCAGGTGACACCCTCAGAGTTCACAAGGATGTACACACTCAAAAATCCTTTGAGCACTAGCGTGACCCTTCTGTGCACCCAGCACTCCAGCAGGGTCCACAGGACCCCGCAGGACCACGGACCTCCTGACCCATCCCACAGGTCCTCTCCTTGTCAGCTCCTCCAGCTTGACACACCAAAGACAGCATCACTCAGATGCTTATCCCAAAGGCACACTATGCTTGCAGGTATCTCCAGGTACCACGATGAATCCCTTGCCCTCCTGATAACCCTGCCCATACCTGGAGTCTCCTACTTGCCAGCTGCTCTGAATTTCTGCTGCTGCATACACACCTGGCTTGTGGGTGTGCACAGAGTTACCTCTCCCAGAATCAGCAGACATGCTGTGAGTCCTACTCCAGCTGCTGGCCTGCAGCCCCTCGCTGCCCTTGTTCATGCTTGCCCCCCAGCAGTTGCTCTTGTGGGCATGGAGTATTCCTGCCTCAGGGGCTGTAGGGTGAGTTCCCACTGGCTCCAGGAGCTGCTACCACAGGCCGGGTCTCTGCTCTCCCTGTCTCCCTGTGTGACTGCAGGAACTGGCCCCAAATCCACACATGCTGGCTGCCCAGCAGCTGGCACTGGTCCTTGCAGTGCACAGATGGGACCCTGGCAGGCTGCACAGAGAGTTACAGAAGGATTAAATAAACTAGGACTGTGGTGGTCAAGTGTAGAGCACAGCCAGAGTAGCACTAACTGGTGCAGGCTGACACCCAACCAGCCTCTTATAACCTTTTTCTGTTTAACCTCTCTTGGCTGCTCCCTGTCCTTGTGTAGTTCCTCAACGGCTGACATCCCAGTTTCCATCATTCAACATCCTGGACACTGAGCTTTGCATCGTGATTATCACTTGCAAAGTCCTAGGCTGCCTATGGCTTGAGAGCTCATCAGCTAGTGTGAGTATGCCGTTTGTTTCTTGTAACTTGCCTTGTAAATGCTAATTGGCCAGGTTTTATGGCTGTGTCTCCTATTACTTCCCTACTATAAAAATAAATGTTCTCAGCCTCGTACATCCTTACCCCTTTGCGTGGCTGATTAGGTTTGTTCTCATTACGTCCTCCCCATCACATGTCTGGTTTATCTCTGCCTTTTATGGCTCCTTTGAGCAGATACCCCTAAATTAGCTGACATGCTCCTTTCACATCCGCTGACACTGCCCGCTGCTGCAGGGCTGGACAGAGGCTGCACTCTTCACTCCCCTGGGGCCTGAATGGGGCTCCTCATGGGCTGTACTCACGGGCAGTGATCCCTGTGGGCATGGCAGGGGCTGTGTGTGCCAACAGGGGCTGCAGTCACTGCTCCTCCAGTAGAGGCAATAGGCAGGAACACATTGAGGCACTTAGGATCAATAACAGCTCTGTGTCAGTTTGTACAGGCAAGCCCAGTGTCTGGCTGTGATAGCCACATCTCTCCAGGCACCAGGGACTTCTGTGGCCAGGCTGATCCTGGAGTTTTGATCTCATCTGGCAGAGCAGAGTGGTCTGCACTGGTGCCTTGCTTTGGGGTTACCTCTGGGCTGACTGCTAAGTTGCAACACAGTATTAAAGACAGCAAGGTTTAATTCAGAGTTTTCAGTCATAGTTCTGCACCTTTTGTATTGTCTGCCCTACACATTCTTTCACAAACTGTAAGACACTGATTTCTAATTAAAGTTGGTGTTTCCCTTCCTTCTGTCCCTTCATTTCCGCTGAACCATGGACTTAGTAAAGCCTTGGACTCAATTTTCCACAGTGCTCTCCTGGAGACACTGGCTGCTCATGGCCTGGGTGGGCACACTCTCCACTGGCTACAGACCAGTCTGGGCAGCTGAGTGCCAGGAGTGGTGGGGAAGGGACGTAACTGCAGCTGGTGGCCCATCACAGCTGGTGTTCCCCAGGGCTCAGTACTGGAGCCAGTCCTGTTTAGTATCTTTCATCAGTGATCTGGATGGGGGCATTGAGTGCATTCTGCCCAGTGAGCTGGCAGACAGCAGCTTGGATGGTGGCTTTGGGAGGGTGGGAAGGCTCTGCACAGGGGTCTCTGGCTGGATCCGTGGGGCAAGGCCAGTGGTAGAAGGCTCATCAGGGCCAAGTGCTGGGTCCTGCACCTGGGTCACAACAAGCCCATGCAGTGCTCCAGTTTAGGGAAGAGGGCCTGGAAAGCTGGAAGGACCGGACCGGGGTGTGCTGGTTGACAGGTGCTCAAGATGAGCTCACGTGTGCCCAGGTGGCCAAGCAGGCCAATGGCACCTGGCACCATGGACACATGGGCACTGTGACTCCAGCTGCAGCCCACATAGGCACGCAGAATGGAGATCCCTCACCCAGACAGGAAATCCTGACTCTGCTGAGCAGGAGCAGGGCATGGCCACACAAGTGTGGTTCCTCCCCTAAACATCCCTAGTAAATCTTGGAACCATCTGAGATGCTTTTCTCCCTCCATTCCACAATGGTTCTTTATCTCCTGGGCATTAGCTCTGCCTCAGTCTGTGAGCTGACCCAGAAGCTGTTCCCACTGACTCCTTGGAACAGGTAGCACACCCAGCTCTGGGGCTGCTGGATCTCCTGGGGACAGCTCTTGGAAGAGGTGGATCAGTGTCCATTTCTCTGGTTAGGTTACTGTGGTGGCTCTGGTACTGCTGGTGGGCATCTGTGCCATTTGTGTATGTGTAGACCAAGTTTTTATTGTATAACCAGAAAAATTCACTTTGCAAAGGTGCAGAGAAGTGTTTTAGAATCACTGCCCTGAAGGCTTTACTGATAGAACAATCCTGTAGCAATGACTGAACTTTTATTTCAAAGCACAGTTGAACACAGCCTCCAGGGCAGCAAGTCTATGGTTGGGAGAGTTGTAATTTGCATTTTTTCATCTTGCAAGGGGGAGAAGTGACTACACTGCCATGAAAATTCCCATATTAGTTCTCCAATTATCACAAGGTTTCTTCATCTGCATGTGGTCCTAATCCACATGACATGAAGCACTACAAGAACTTTTTAATTAGCCCCACGGTGACAAAATCTAGTTTTGCTAATTATATTATTGTTACTGTTTTGGAATGACCAGAAGTGCAAGGTGATTTGGGATTTTGCTTTCTTCTTAAATCCCATCATTTCCCTTAACAAAGGCATCAGGAATCCTATAGGGGAAGGTTGTTGGAGTCTTCTGTTGGAGGTAGGTTTGCATCTCCTGCTCCTCTGATTAGAGCTGTGCTGTTTTATCTTGTAACTTGAGAATCTCATAGCTTGTGTGAAGGTGGATCACAGAAACGGGAGTTTGCTGAAGGTATTTGCTCTTTCTGCCAAAAATACTGGAAGGATGAATAATTCCACATGCTACCAGTGGCAGTGATTAGACTGCGAAAGAGGAAATCACCTGAAAATGCTTGTTTATCACTTTTAATATATAATCTTATTTAACAGAGTCAGCTTCAGAGACACTCCGCATGTGTTGGGAGATGTCTGAGGGAACGCAGGCATGAGTCATACCTGTCTCAGCATTTCTTATTTCAGGTTTTTGCTGGAGCTCAATCTTACTTTTATGGTAGAGAGATTACTGAGGAGAAAGGCTGGATTACAATTGAAAGCAAATTGCTTTTTCTCTCCCCCAAGCTTCTGTGAAAATACTATTTTTTAATGGGAAATCAGAACAAAGAATCCACAGTATTAATTGTGGATTGTTAGAAAAAGTGGCTTTCCTTTTTGGATCTGTGGAAAAAAATCTGCAACTTTTAAGCAGAAAATAGGATTAAGTATATAAGGCTTTAAAATGGTATTATTCACTGACAGTAAGGTGGAAACTGTTATGGGAAAAAATTACAGTATCCCTGCAGGGTATTCACCAGAGGCAATTGAAATGTGCAGGAAGTTCTCATTTCTACAATTCTCTGAAATTCCATTTTTGGGAATAGTTTAACAGTTTATAGGGGGAAATAAAAAAAGTTGTGTTTTATTCCACATGTGGCTTTTTCTTTTAAGAAATTAGATTTTTGTTTCAGCAGCCAAATAGAGGTAATAATTTCCCATCAGGGAGATGGTTCAATTATCTTGGGCTGTGGGTGCTGATGAGCAGCTGCCATCTTCTCTTAGAACTTCCCCACAGTGTCTCCAAATTCACTGAATATTACAACAGTATTTTTCCAGAACTGGAGACACTGTGATTTTTAACTCATGCCATTTATCTGACTGAAAAGAAGTTTGTAAACGGACTGTGATGCAGAGATCTTTGTAATAATCTAATGCATGAGAAGACCAGAAGTTGGGAATAAATTGGGGTTGAGACTGAGCTGTCCATGGAGCCAAGGAGGAGTAGCCTGGCCAC